AGGCACAGCAGAGGATGTCCTTCCTGTACCAGCTCAGGAAGTTTGACCTGCCCCAGGAGCTGCTGATACAGTTCGACAGAGGAATCACTGAGTCTGTTCTCTGCACCTCCATCACTGTCTGGTTTGGCTCAGCAACCAAACAGGACAAGTACAGACTTCAGCGGACAGTGAGGACTGCAGAAAAGATCATTGGTGTGAGCCTGCCCTCCATGGAGGACCTGTACACCTCATGGGTCAAAAGGAGAGTGGAGAGGATCACTGCAGACCCCTCACACCTCAGACACAATCTGAACTTCTCCCCTCTGGGCGGTGTTACAGGTCACTGTGCACTAAGACAACCAGGCACAGGGACAGCTTCTTACCCCAGGCTGTCACTCTGATGAACACTTAACCCACAATAGTATGATTGGACAATAACCCTCAGTGCAATACCTGTAATTATACCTCGTACAGATTATACAGACTTGTACAGGTCTCTAGTTCTTAAGTACTCTGTTTTATCCCTATTTATCTCATTTCAGTGAACATTCCCCTGCTGTTTGCATTGTTTACTGTCTGTTTATACTGTTTTTTCTGCATTGTTTGCACTATTTGTTGATGTTAATACTGCTATTTTGTTATATTACACAGCCTTATGCTGGTTTACTGTTTGCACATTGAGAGCCAATGTACCAGAGTCAAATTCTTTGTGTGTCCGTCACACCTGGCCAATAAAGCTGATTCTGATTCTGATTCTGAATTTGAGACCAATTACTCTACTAAACAGTGACTATACAATTATAACCCTCATCTTTGCTAATAGCCCTAAAAAGAGTCTTAATAAAGTTATTAGTAAATCCCAATTCATGCAGATCCATCCACAACAATATTCGTTTAGTACTTGATTTTTTAGATTACAACCATTTCATAGAAGGTGACGGTTTCAATCTCTTTCTTGATTTTTGTAAAGCATTGGACACGACTGAACACTCATTTATTTTCTGCATCTTAAGATTACTAGGTTTTGGGGAAAGGTTCATCAGTATAATTGAATCTCTCTATGACAACACAAACAGTTCAGTCTCCTTACCAGAAGGCACATCTCCCCGTTTCTCTAGCAGTCGTGGAGTCAAACAAGGCCGTCCCATCTCTTCATTCCTATTTATCATTGCCACAGAAATGCTTTCTATCCTTATCAAAAACTCCAATATTACCCCTTTAAATGTTTTTGGGAAACCAGTCATTATTAGTCAATTAGCGGACGACACAACCATATTTTTGCAACAACTGTCAGAAGTCCCCAAAGTTCTTCATGCTATTCACACATTCTCTAAAGCTTCTGGTTTAGAGTTAAATTTGAATAAATGTGAGCTTATGCCTATTCACCAATGCACTTTAACAGAGGCTTACAATATTCCTATCAGACAGATGGTTAAATACTTGGGTATACACATCTCTAGAGACTCAGCTGTATGTAATAAGAAAAACATATGGACGACTATCAATGAATGTCATTCTAGACTCAACCTATGGTTAATGAGAGACATCAGCTTAATGGGAAGGTTTTTTCTGACCAAAATGAAAAGCATCTCTAGGTGCATCTATCCAGCCTTTTTGCTAAGCATTCCAAATGATGCTATTAAAAAGATTAATACAATTAACTTTGACTATATATGGAAAAATAAAGTCCACTACATTAAAAGAGCAGACATGACTAAAGAATTTAAAGATGGAGGTTTACCAAACACTGATTTTAATTTTATTAATGGAACTTTAAAATTTAATTGGTTAAAGTCCTTTTTGAATAACGATAGCCTCTGGTACCACATTCCCAGAGAAGTGTTTAAAAAATTAGGAGGCGTAGAGGTTTTGCTTAAATGTGACTTTAATATCCCAAATCACCTGGTCAAATTATCACTTTTTCATCAACAAGTCTTACTATATTGGAAACTCCTATATAATCATAACTTCACACCCCACAATACCCCAATCTGGAATAATAAATATATTAAGATCAAGAACAACTCGTTGTTCAATAATGAGTGGATGGAGAGAGGCGTTTGGTCGGTATTTCATCTTATTGACACAAATGGCTCCTTTTTATCATATGCTTTTGTGTTGAATATGGGAGAATTGATGATTGTAACTCATTCTATTCTTTAATCAAAGCGATCCCTACCTCCTTCTTGTGTTTGGTATTTAGGTAACCCTACTCCATTCAGCCCATCTCTCCCACAGCTTTTAATTGGAGGCTGTGCTTTAAATCAACTCAAATACCCAAACAAAAAATTAAGAAATATCTCATGCCCTTCTTCTCAATACAGAAATTCTATCTTACAATTCTTTTCAAAGGAACTGTTTGCTTGTTACGAACAAAGTATTTGCATTTCCCTGTCACTCCGAATGCCAAGGAGCTTTAAAACCTTGAATGGCATATATCCATCCAGTGCTTTGTTGAGACATCGATTTGGTATTGAATCCAATAACTGTATATTTTGTGACGAAGATGAAAATGCAGAACATCTTTTTTTCCAATGTATGTTTTCTGGCATGTGGTTTTTGTTTGGCTCCAATCAAAGATTCATCTCCTAAATGACTTCACCCAAAAAGACATTATTTATGGACTCCTGATGGACAATGCCAACACTGACTTTTAGATCAATAACATCATCATTTTTGGGAAATTTCACATACATAAAGCTAAGTATATAAAAATTGTACCTTGTTTCTGTATATTTCTCAATAGGTTTCTTGTTTTTGTCAAAACCCTAAGTCTAATGAAAACCAAAAATGCTACAATACTTTTTAATTTAATTGAAGAGTATAATTTAGTACCAAAGCCCTAATTTCTTAACATGACTTTTCACTTAATTTTATTTTATTTATTTTTATTTTTACTCGTTTTTTTCTAACCTTATTTTGTTTATGTATTTATTTTTATCTTTCTCTCCTTCCTCTCTTGTTGTGTTTTTTATTATTGCAACTGTTCTATATTAATGTTATGGAATACTAATGTTTGCCACATTTGTTGTAAATACAATTGTTCAATAAAAAAAAATCCTACGGCTCTATTATCGTTCACACACACACACACACACACAAACACACACACACACACACACACACACACACACCCCCCCACAACGGGGACACACACACACACACACACACACACACACACACACACACACACACACTCCAGCCCAGCAGGTGGCGGTAATGCACCTTAGGTTGGCTTGCAAACCTCTAATAAACACCATAAGAAGAAGAAGAAGAAGGAGGAGAAGAAGAACAGCTCTTCCTTTTCTGTCGGCCATTTGTCGTATACGGTAGGTTTCTGATGAGCTCTCGCCTAAAAATGTTAAAACTCGGGATATATGTGTACATAGACGTACTTTACGTGTGACCTTTTTAAGTTAGTGTGCCCTTGTAGTTGAGGATAAGCTTTAGACTGTGTTTATTATAGAAATTCAAAACATGTCTGTCTAGTGCGTGAGCTGCCACACGCGGTTGTGTGGTGTGCCACATGCTAACTGGTTTGCTAGCAGGCTGATACGGACTAAGTGTTGGTCTACATGTAGCTTCGCACTGAGTAAATGTTGCAGTTCTAATACGTATGTTTGCATTTTATGCTGTTCTGACTTTTTAGAAGCACACGGCTGTAGCACCTCCAATCGTGTTTTTAAATATGTGCTATCTAGATAGTTATCTGGCTTAGTTTAGTTAGCATTAGAAAGAACGTGTCCGCTCCTGTAATGTCATATTGGTCTGATTCTGTTTCAGATTTGTAGGCGACCACCTGTATAGCCGTTAAACATGCAAAACGACGCTGGTGAATTCGTGGACCTCTACGTTCCACGCAAATGGTGAGTGTTTATAATGGAAGAGGAAAAGGTTGAAACTGACTTGAGGATATTTGGAGATTACCGTTACCCTGTGGTGGTTTTTGTGACAGCGAAGTATACACTTAGCAGAAAATGTTAAGGGTTTGCCTTGAGGCTCAGTGTTGAAAGCATCATCATTGAGATCTCTAAAATAACGTTATAGAGATTAGTGCTCTCTTTGTTCAAAAATTAAAACGTTGGTGGGTCCTAAAAGATTTGAACTGTAATGATACTCAGTTTTGAAGTGATTTGCCATTTGATGCAGCAGAGGGTAGTCTTAAAAGTTTACTGTCAGCTTGACTTATCGTGTGCTTTTGTAAACTAAGGAAATCAGTAAAAATGGAGGATACTAGTGAACAAAACAGTGCTCAGTATATCTAGTCACTCATTATAGTGATTGAAACAGAAGATTGTCTGTGGAAGTATGTTGTATTCTACATGGTAGATGGTTAAATTACCAATAAAGACAAAGCTCTTAGTTGCACATTTCACTTGTTGACTCTTAGTCCTGCCTGGTACTGTCTCCTACTACATTTGGAAATTTGTGTTTTAATGGAAGTGTGTTCAGATGTTGTAATTTCCTTTTACAAGAGAAAAGGCTTGACCAATTTCTTTGATTTGCATTCAGACCGATCCCGTAAAAATGTAACTCCCTGCTGTTTTAACATATGGGGCTGTGTTGGTCAGGGAGTGAGGGGTTGCAGCAGGAGTGTTGTAGGCACGATATGGCTATGTTGTGACGAGCCGACGTGAGTGGCCTCATTCACATTTTCAACTCGCGAGTTTTGATTATCCATGTTGCACCACCTTACCACCACTTCTACCACCGGTGTGTCAGCATTGATAGATTTAAAAAAAAAAAACTGTTTAACATCTAGTGCTAATGAAAATGCATGGTGTGGGGGTAAGGTGTGTTAACTTTGGCCCAGACTCAACTGTGAATAGCAGTGAAAGCTCAGGCTAACACGGTCAACAAAAGAGGCACCTTCCAGTGTCCTGATCATCCTCTGCACGTGATTAGTCAACACAGCAGCCTTTGCCGAATGATGTCACCACCTCGTGCAGTGAAAGTTAAACCAGAGCCGATACACAGGGTTGCATCATTTAGCTGGACCCCCCTTGTGGTGCTGGTGCCGACTGCAGTGAACGCAGTCCCCCCTTAGGAATGAATGGAGATGGCTTTGTTTTTTCACGCCTTTGAACCTCAGTCTGAGCACTGCCTTAAAGTGTTTTTGGGAGAGCCATCTAGGACTGTCTCCAGAAACACTTGAATGAAGATGACATTTCATTCACAAGAAATATAAAATACTGTGTGTGCATTTCAGCTCTGCTAGCAACAGAATCATTGGAGCCAAGGACCATGCCTCCGTCCAGATCAACTTTGCTGAGGTAAAAGAAAACTGTCTTTAAATTCATCTGTTCATGTTCATCAGCATTCTCTGAAGCCCTGCTGGACGTGCTTTGTTAATGCTCAGTGTCATTGATTATTGTGTGGATGCTGTAAAGCATCCACACTATGCTCTCCTGTTCTTTATTAGTGTGGATGCTCGCATCCACACTCTTGTTATCTTCTTCTTTATTATTATTATTATTTATTCTGGGTTCCGCCACTGTTCTTTGGCACCTAATTCCTTCCACATACTTTCACCTAGAAGGGCCATTGAGGTATCAAACTGTTTAAGGACTCCTTAAGGACATGTGTGCTTGTATTTTTCTTGTCTGTAACATTTATACTTTTTAAGATATTCAGCTTTTTTTTACAGAAATTTCCCCATTGGAAATGAATGGGGCAAAGTTTGAAGCTTAATATCTCCGGCATACCTTGGGCTAGAAACGCCATTTCAACTTTATTCAACTCGTGAGATGTGCAGCTACCAATAGTGCAACAATCAACTTGATATCTTTAATGTTTTTTTTTTTTTATATAATCGACATTTCTATTTTGTCTATTTGTCCATAGACAAAGCATGGGCCAATGCAGTGCAATGCCAATGCTTGGTGTACACTGGGTGTGCTTGTGTCCAAACCATCTCAATCTGGCCTCTCTGACCCTGTCCCCAAAATAGCCGACCTCAGCTG